TACGAACGTGGTCATTTTAATATGCGCGTAATTGAATTGAATATTTACCAATATACAGTACTTTCGTTGACGTTTATAGTAAGATCAATAACGTTTCTATTTGATTTCAATATTTTTTTCCCTCAGTGTACATTGCAAGAAAAAGGAGTACGTTTACTCCCAAAAGCAGTACGTCTGGCAACCCTATGTATATATAATAGTAATTATTTTACACGAAAATGTTTTATATAATTTTTTTTTGAATTTTCTTAAGCTTTAAAAATTCATTTAGGCCCGGTAACTTATCAATTTTAAAATTAGTTAAACTTAACTACACAAAATTCTATAGAAATTTGTTGTTTTTAGTTATTTGTTGTTGACGTTTTTAATAAAAATTAAACTCTAAAAATTTAGATAAACTAATAATAAAACAAATAATGCGAAATAAAATAAAACAAAAGGAAATAACAAAAATAAATTTAATAAAAAAAATACATATTTGTAGTATGCAGCTCTCACAACTAGGCTACCGCGAATGCCAAACACGCCTGCTTTGTTTGCTTACTTGAGCAATAGACAAAATCTGGCCATTTTGGCTAGTGTGGAAATCGAAAATTTCCCTGATGTGCATTTCTTTTGAGGATTAAAGCATAAACAGACGGCAGCGGTGATCCGGATCAACTCCGAGTTAATCCGGATCAACGCTGCCGTCTCACAGTGGTCAATAAATGGAATTTAATGTTCATAATTCACTGGAGCCTTCATTTGATTAATTATTTTTTAGCATGCAGATGTGCTCGAAATGTTAGCGAAAAAATTATAAAAACTGCATACCCAAAATTTTTATAAAAACTAAAAACAAAAAAAAATACTTTTGGTAACATTTTTTTTATAACATTTCAAATTATTACTTTTTAATTTATTTTTTGTTTTAGGAGAACCCTACAATTGTTTTTAACTAGTTTCTATTATGAAACTTTTATTAGCTGGAACAGGAGAATCGGTCTTCTTCAAAATTGGCGCCATTTCTGCACTTTGCACTAAAAAATTTAATACAAACGAATAAAAATTCGAAAATTGGGCTCAACTAATCTCTTAATTAAAATAATTAAGCAAATCGGTTGAGAAATGAAGGCTCCAGTGAATTATGAACATTAAATCCCATTTATTGACCACTGTGCGTCTGTTTAAGCTTTTAGCTGCAGGGCTTTATCCGGATCAACCGCAGTTAATTCCCGAGATAATTCCGAATTAACGAGTTGATCGGGACCAACGCTTCCTTTGTATATATATGCTTTTAGATTCCCATTCAGCTCACGCAATAGAAGTAGTATTTAAATAGATCACGCGCCATGTGTTTGCAAATATTAGCATATTATTATTTCCTGAATATCTTAAAGCTAGAAATTAGGAGTGTACTCGTACCCAAAACTATTAAAAGTTTTAGAAAACTTTCACTGGTTTTGCGTTCTCGTAGCCAAAAAATTTGCAAAGTAGGGGAAACTGAGAGAGCAAGATGTGATAGAGAGCTCCAAATTTCTGCTGGAAAAATTTTTACTAGCGAAATTTGCATGTAAGAAAATCGCTTGTAAACAAACAAAAGAAAATATGTCCTTTTTGAATTATTATTAATTCTAGTATACGTTAAAAAGAGAGTAAATTTATTAAGCACAAGGTTTATTGAGTTTATTTTGAGGTAATTTACTATCAATCTCCTGTTTATTTACTTTAGTGTAGAGTTGGAAAACTATCGATGGCACTATCGATAGTACCGATGGTTTTTGCCTATCGAAAACATCGATGGTTTTGTAACCACTATCGATAGTTTTTACTCATACATACATTATTCAGAGTAAAGGCCGGCGGTAACTGCTTCATCTTGTGAGTAGGAAAGGACATTTAACAACGCAGGCCAAATAATTTCAGAGCACAGATGCGGCTTGAAGCCAAAAATCGTTGATAAACTTTTGTCCCATAACAAAAATATGGAGATATTTTAGCAGTTCTGTAGCTCATTCCTGTAACTCTTCTCTACCGATTATTTCTCTACTGCTAGAGAATATACATCATTCTCTACTACTCATTAGCAGTAGAGAAAAAGGCGGCGACCTCATATATGAATTCGCCTTGGTAGAGAATTGTTACAGAAGGGAGCTACTAATCTCATTTTCAATAAAAGTAGTTATGTTTAATTTGTGGACTTCTTTAATCAAAACTATCGATAGTGTCGACATTATCGATACTATAGATGGTTGTGACTATCGACTATGGCCACGACCATCGATAGTTTTCCAGCTCTACTTTAGTGTGTGTTGACTATGCTTGCCGTATGACATATTTCGTTTGTACCATAATTTTCCTATAAATTTACCAAAATAGATTTAAATGCAGCATACTGAAATGTTTTTTGCTGAAGTTGTCAGTTTTGGTAAGTTGATTGTTGAAATGAAGATTTTATAATTTAAAGGCACATTTTTAGCTACTATACATATCTATTAAATATTTTTGGAAGCGTCATCATGTGGTATCACAAATAGTTTTTTTTAAATAACTTATTCATTCCGATATAACTAACTCGTATTTTTAAAAGGTTTTTTATATCCAAAAGTATTCAACTGTATAAAAAGCCATTCGGGGAAAATGTACCAAGCAGGAAATAAATTGCCAAATGAACTACCAGCGGCAACTGTAGAAGTGATCAGCTGTTTCAAATGTTGCAAGTTTTTTCAAATTTTGCGTTCTCGCAATCCTGTGGATATTTTGTCTCTTTCAGAGCGAATGCTGCTAAATTCTCAGAATTTTTGCTGCTGGATAATTTTGTCCGTTCAATACGAGTACACACACCTATTGTATATTCCTTTTTCGTCTCTTAATCCAAATATCGGTTTGAAAAATTAACGTTTCAATCTAACGGCTATTCCTTGTCAATGATATCCGTACTCTGTTCCATCCCATATTAGTAGTACATAGTTTGTATGTACATATATATGTCCTGGAATTGGACAACTCACTTGAAAATATTTCTTTCATTGTTACTATTTAATGAATATTTAATATTTTTTTTATAAATGTGTAGCTCAATATACATAAGAGGGCTGCATGAATTCATTCAAACTTCTAACCAAACAGAGTATAGTAGATTTGAATATTTTACTTCACATACAAAACACTCAGAGTTTGGAATTTTGTAAGTTATGAATATACATTTTGTTTTAAATTTTCTACCTTTAAATGGAAGAATGTGAATGAATGCATGGAAAACATTCAAATCATTCAAACTCATTTCGGTAAAAGTTTTTTCTACAAACAAGTATTTTCGTATGTAATAGGAGCGCAGCAATACATACATACATACATATGTATGTATTTACATATGTGCATAGAAAAAATAGTTTTGGATATTCATACAAAAAATTGTCATTTATTTCAATTCAATTTATTTTCACTTTGTTTGAATATTGTAATGTCGACACATATATCAGAACAGCTATTCACTCAAAATCAAAAAAATTGGAAGCCAAAATCATGCATTTGTTTTGTATATGAATAATTCATAAGCCGTTTTGAATGCATTCATGCAGCCCTCTAATGTACATACATTTAATACGACAGGCAATTTTATACACAAAAAAATCAATATATTACCCAAACCAAGAGCCAAATAAAGTAAAATTGCGTTCTTAATTTTTCTCTCTGACGTCAGGATTTTTTAAATTTTGAAATTCGAAAGATACGAGTAATTCAAAAAATGATTTAAAGAATTCAGTGCGATGTTCTTAAAAACCCAGTATTGGTATCAAATGAAAGAAAAGATTCTGTAGAGTTAAAACATATTACATTTTTTGGTGCGTAAAGGACGGGTAGGTATGGAAAATGCCCTTTTATAATTTTATCCTTGAATATTCTTTAAATTTCGCAATTCTTATTTTCGAAACAATTATCTGTTAAGGACTAACTTTGTTAGCCTAAAAAAACAAAATAGAATAAAGGCGCATTTTTAATTCCTATTCGAACTTGGTACCCATATTTTTGTTTAGCATTGCACTGAATTTTTAAATAAGTTTTGGAATTAACCATATCTTTGAAATTATAGACTTTTTAAAAAAATCACGACGTCAGGAAACTGCCCTGATATATATATATATGCAGTTAACTATATGTAATATGAGGTATACTTTTATAAAAAAATTAAATAGTGAATAAACAAAACAGAATATAGACAAAACTGGCGCTTCTTTTATTTCTGCAACTAGTATTATGAACTTATTTCAACCAGAAAATAAATTTTTTAACTTAATATTTTTGCATCGAGTTTTTTTCGACATAAGTTAGTTTATGAGATATGTAGACGCTAAAGTATTATTAAATGCATATAAATTTAAATACTGTCGTTTTGTTACTTATTAAATAATTTTCACTTTAAATAAAAAAGTACGAGCCAAGCGTATTTACTTATTATTTATTATATGGTAGGAGACCTGCTCAAACCATATTGATGCAATTCTTTCGTGTTAAGTTTTTCAAAAATAATAAATACATATCATCATTTAAAGTGCAAAACCGCGTATCAACAAAATGCAAAACCGCGTATCAGCAAAATGCAAAACCGCGTATGTGAACTTGTAAAAATTATTTTCTAGAGCGTAAAAACACTCATATTTCAAAATGGTTCTCTTTTTTATAAAGCAATCGCATTTCTGGCTAGTTTATTTCAGGACGAATGGGTAAGGATTGAGCCAAGAGCTTGTGTGAGCAAATGCAATTTTTAGCAGCAAATGTCAGTTACGCGGTTTTGCAGAATGACGATACGCGGTTTTGTACTTTAAACGACGATATCTAAATCCCGGGACTGATCCCGGGATCCCGGGGCTGAGCCAACTACATCCCGAAAATCCCAGGATCGGTTTAGTACCGGATTCGGTTTTTAGTACCTTTACATACCTTTTTTTGCGACTTTTATTGCCAAAAACTCCTTCCCTGCTCCTACTAATAAATACGTATTTACCAATATTTATTTTCAGTCGAGATCATAACGCCAGAATTAGACGGCACCACGGCCACAGCGAAACCTTACCTGCATGTTGTGGAGCAACCTACCCGGAAGCCTATGCGATTTCGCTATAAATGTGAAGGCCGTACTGCTGGAACCATACCTGGTGAGAATTCCTTTCAAGAGACGAAAACTTTTCCCACTGTTGAGATCGTTGGTTATTGCGGGGAAGCTTTAATTCTCGTGTCGTGCGTCACAAAGGATAAGCCTTATAGACAACACCCTCATCAGCTGGTAGGTAAGAATTGCAAGAGTGGCGTATGCACACGAAACGTTGGCCCCGGTCTGCCATTGCGGGCGGAGTTCAGCAACGTCGGCATACAATGCGTGCGGAAAAAAGAAATTGCTGAATCCTTGGAGGAACGAAAAAAGAAAAAGGTCGATCCGTTTAAGAGTAAGATCCCTAAGATTTTTCGAATCCCAAAAAAATCGAATATTTCAATCATTAATCTTTCCAGCTGGATTTGATCACATTAGCGACCCGAATTCAATTGAACTGAATTCTTTGCGGTTGTGCTTTCAAGGCTTTTTAAAAGGTGCCAATGGCTGGGAGCCACTAAGCCCGGTGGTATCGGAACCACTGTACGACCGAAAAGCAAAAAGTGAATTGGTTATAAGCCGCCTTTGCAGCTGTTCTGCGACAATCGAGGGTGGACAAGAAATAATTTTGCTCTGCTCGAAAGTCAACAAGGATGACATCAAAGTTCGTTTTAAGGCAATCGATAACAATCAAGAAGTGTGGCATGCTTACGCCGATTTCGAACCATCCAATGTACATAAACAGGCAGCTATCGCTTTTCGCACACCGCGCTATCCTCAGGCGGATTTGCCAAAAACTGCCAAGGTAAATAAAACCATCTATAGATGCGCATATGTATATCCACTTATCAAAACATAAATTTATTTTCCGATATATAGCCATATATTGAGTTGGAATGCCCAAGCTTGGATAAGAGAAGCGAAGCTTTGGAGTTCGTTTTTCATGACCCAGGTATGCTTTCTTTTGCGAGTATGCGCCGGAAACTTAAGCGAAGGCCTGATGTCGATATATTTCAACATATTTTGTCCATGGATAGCGAGACAACGGCTACGAAATACTCTTGCCCACCCACCGGTGTTGATTTTGACTTCGATGACAATTACACCATATCGACAGAACGTACAGAGAGCACCGTCAGCAAGCAGCATAGTTTAGATACGCTCAATGAAACCGAAAGTATAGCCCGGCGCAATAGAGAAAGTGTGACCGATGACTGTGACATGGACTTCGAATGCACCAATGGCATTGAAGTAGAGTTGGAAGTGCCTGAAATTAAGTACTCAGCTGCGGATGCCGACACACAGACATCCACACCCATGAATGATGTGCTAAGGCATCCATCCTTGGTTGGATCGCGTCCGTTGTCCGCAGTCGATAAGATCACTGAGTGGATGCACTCTAGTGAGTTCGAACGTACGGACAGCCTGACTGTTGAAAACGGTGATACAACTTCGTTGAGTCCAATAACAGTGTACACCAATGTCACCAGTTTATCGACGAACCATACGACCATATCGACCGCCACCGACGAAGACAAGACCTTCACAGACCACATGGAACAAGAGCCTAAGCTCGATGACATGAGCAATGATCTGCAATCTCGACGCGGCACATTTGACAACCCTATGCTACAATGCTTGTCTCTTGGGGGCTCACCCATTGGCGACAATAAATCTGTGGAAACAATGGTTGAGATAATCACCACTATTCCTAAAAATACTAGCACTAGTACATACGCCTCTGTGGATGTAGGTGAAAGCTTCGAAGAGACGTCTACATGTGACAGTTTGCAGATCGCTTTCAGAAATCCGCTCTCAATGCCCAGTGGCGGAAAACAAGCCTCAGAGGTCATCGTCAATGACGAATATGGTTTGGTGGTGTTGAAAAACCCACCTGCCCCAAAAATACGTGTAAATGCCGTTCAAACGCCGCCCTCTCCACCTTCGCCTCCCCTACCGCTACCACCGCGCACTCCTTCACCCGGCCCAGATCGAAAGCTTCCTCCATTGCCGCCCAAGCGCAAAACTACTCAGGAACTTAATTCAAACTCACCGACCTCTTTCAGCTCCGTAGAACACTCACGCGCCAGTAGTATTTCATCACGTCCCCCATCGCAAATCATTATAATGCGTACACCTGACCAAAGTCCAACTAAACGCCAACCCACACCAAACTCTTCACCCAAGAAACGTCAAGGTTTCTTCTCGCGACTCTTCTCGCGACGCAAAAGTAAAAGTGAAACAAATACTGGTGACAAAACGTTGGCAAGCAAGTCACCGCCGAAATGCTCAACACCCGCTGTTAGTCGCGAACCTAGTATTGGCAATTTTTCGATCAGCGATCCCAATCGATCTTCCCTGCGTTCTGTTAAATCTCTACAACAACCTAACTCCGACTCTTCAGCTCCCTATAACAATATTTCCGTTCAAAACGAAAGCAATAAAAATGGCAAGCCAGTAGGTCGTAGTGTAAGCAGCGTCTCTGGTAAGCGTCCTGCCCATTTGAATGCCGATGTAATACACATACCACTTAAGGGCGAAAACGCTAAGAGTCTGCCCTCCCACGAAGGCAAAGCCTTCACTTTCGGTCAATACTTGGACCGCAGAACGCTTAGTGCGCTTCAACTGGCCGAAATACCCATTTGCGATGGAAACATGGAGCTCGTAGCAATTGCTGATCGGCAGAGCTTAAAAAATTTATGTGAAGGTGAGTTCGGAGTTATCCTCGGTCCAGAAGTAGACTTACAAGAAGCCGAACACTTCGCGCTGTACACAAGCATACCACCCGAACGCCAAATAACTGCCAATAACTCAGAGATCGATTTAAAGCTGTGCGCAGGTGCAGGTACTGTGGACGACGGACAACCATTGCTCACAGGCGACGAAATCGCGCGACGACTAAACGAAGCGAACAGAATGCCAGCCGATTAAAATGGAAATGAAGGAATATTTTTCGTATTAAGTATTTCGAAACTTAGCGATTTTTTGAGTATGCATACATACAAACGAGTATATATGAAAATCGAGTAGTTAAAATATGAAAATTAGTCCGTTATTATATATCTAACAGTATATGCATTGCTACATAAGTTGTCTAATATGTTTCTATTGTAGGTCGTTACAAGGAAGATAGAAAACGTCGGAAGATTAGCGGACAAAGCCTTATAAATCAGATGAACAAAGATTTGGGTTTGAACTTAAATTATCAAGGCATTTGTAAGTTGCATTTGTTTTTTAAAGGGTTTGAAATATAACTACTGCTTGGGTTTAGAGAACAAATGTTTTGCGAAATACATACATACATAATTAGTTGCCTTCCAGATAACTTCGTGTACAAACCTGTAAAACTGTCAAATATCAAAATTACTCTCTTGAAAGAGAGGAGCGTGAGCGAACCAGTAAAAGTCAGCTGGAACGCGAAAAACCACTTTTCCTGTTACTACTTCACGTTTTTTTTTAACAAATGTAAGGTCCTTTGCTTTCACCGCGTTCTGTTTTTGTTTAAAAATGCAACCCTGCCTATCGTTTGACACTTTTCATGAACTTGAATTAAGAAAAATTTCGGACTAAAACCTTCAACTTCTGACTGAGAGCGAGTGCAAGTTAATCTCATAAAAGTGCTTTGACTGACAGGTTTTTGGCCCTTTGAACGCATTCCTGTAAAAAAAAAGCCTGCAAATCGTGAATATCGTGAGCATCTGGAACGCAACTAATATTTATCACCATTCACAGTTATAGACATCAGCTGTCATTGTCCCAGAGTGGGTTTCGGTTAACATCCATTTACCCCTCCTGATCATAAGTATTTCAATAGTTTCATACATTCATAAGTATATATGCACATAAACATATACATATGCAGAAATCGCGAATCCAGCTCTGACATAAAATTGCATTACATAAGCTAGAACGGAGTAAAAGTGAAACATGTATACACATATGGGACCATGAAAGCCCTGTAGCCTGACTACATTTTTGTAAAAGTAGAGTTGTTGTCTAAAACGCTTTAATAGAAAGGTGTTTCCTAATATCAGAGTTGTGGATTTTTCATGTTATGTTACAGTATATATGCAGAACCATTTTTTTAGATTTTAGTTACCATATAACTGTTCTAATTTCAAATGTCTTGGTTAATTTGTAGATAGGCTACTCTGGTTCTCTTGGCCTCATATAGTACATACATATAAATAAGAAATAAAAAAATACATTAAACATTTCCCACTATAGGAGAAATAATGTGAATATTTAAATAAAATATTTACCTAGGTAAGTCGATATTTATTGTCTTTTTGCAGAATATCAAAATGAAGAATTCCAACTCTACAAAATAGATCTATGAAAAGCCTTAAATATAAGTGCACTTGAGGGGGGGGAAATATAACCTGTGCATATGTATGTATGTTTATCAGCATGTGCAGTGGGAAGGTTCTTTATTACCTAAATAATTATTTTGGTGAGAATTGATGGGATGGGCTCCGACCAGTGTGCAAACCCCTTTTTATTTTAGTATGGTAAAATCGGCAAAAAAAAGTGTGGTAAATTTGAAGAAGATGTGGTAGATTTTAAAATTTCTATTTTTATTTGTTATAAATTGTACCTATATGTACCACTGTACTGAAGCCACTTACATTTCAAGCTACTTGAAAACTTACTTGTATTCGACTGGACTTGGTTCGACACAAGCAAGTAAACGCTTCCTTGCTTAAAGATTTTTCGATCTCAACTCATAAACATGCTTGATTTACTTCAAACATAGGGTTGCCAAATTTTTTATGCGCGAAATCAGTACGTTAGACTTCTACTTGCTAAAAAAATCAGTACTTTTCAGTACATTTTTATTCAAAGCAAAATTATGAATGTAAGTATCAGATAATACTTTAAAACGCCAGAGTAGTTGTTTTTAACAATATTTTGGTATATAAATAAAATATAGTTCATAAGAAGAGTGTTATTCATTTTAACATGAGTGTACACATCATTATACACAATATTTTATATTTACGATATTTTGAATATCAATAATGAGATCATTTCCATCTTCAGTATTTAAATAGTCAAAGAATTTTATATTTTTCATTTTAAGATTCCCTTTAATATGAAGTTCGGTTTCTTTCTTCCTTACGCCAGGAAGAAAACTTTATACCAATGTTGATATTTGAGAATTTTAAATTGTACTAAATTAATGAAAAAAGTGTAACTTTTTGAGCTTATTGTACTTTTCGCCATTTCCGTCAATAACAATAAAAAAAAACATGTCTACTGCAGTGTGCTTATTGTTCAATTCATTGTACAGCTTCAGTTGTTGTAGGCTGAATTTAACGTAACTTATCATTGTGATCTCTTCGTTATATTCCAAATTTATAAAACTACACCCCCCGACAAAATGGTATAGTCACCCGGTTTGGGCTATTTATTTTATTTTTCTCAAATAAATTTTAATTGTTTTTTTTTAGAAAAGTATAGCTTATTGTCTAATAAAAAGAAACCCACATTTCAAAATAAAAAAAAAAAACGAAACGATTTAGCGCATTTTCTTTTATATAAAATAAAATACGAACATTCGTTATATGGAAGAAAGTGAAAAAATGTTTACCCACAAAATTTCTACAAATTCTGGATTTATTTTTATGGTTTCTGTAAGACAATGAGCTATACTTTTATAAAAATATAATTCAAATTAGTTTGAAAAATAATAAAATAAAATAAATAGCCCAATCCGGGCGACGGTATCACTTTGTCCGTGTTGTTATTCAAATACGAAGGCAATAACGATAAAAAATTAATACAGTAGATAGATCACTGTATATTAATGAAAATAAATCATATAAAATGAGATGACTAGATTTTTTCAATAGTGATATTTCACCCGCCGATGATAAAAAAAATTGCAATCACCATAACGCTCACCACTAATATTGCCATTCACAATCTCGTTTACATTTAAAATTGCAATTCACAATTTCATTTTGAAATATGAAATATAGGTATGTCCTGCTTGAAAATTCCGCTTACGTTCTCCTTCTTCATTTCTCGCAAGCGATTTGAAATTTGTTGACTGGGCATTTAAAAGCATACTTTTTCACGAAATTCCAAACGCATTCATATTTTAAAATATCTGGAATCCGCCACTCCATTTTATTATTTTGAATAGTCATTAACTCTTTCTAAATTTTTATTTTTTCTTTTTTGAAAATTAATGGTTCCAAACTACTAAAATTACAGACGAAATCAAGCAAGATCTCGCAAACCACCCGGTATGCTAGAAAAAAATATGCTTCGTACTTTTTGCGGTCTGCACGTGCGAGATCTCGCATGAATGTCACGCAAACTCATATATGTAATACTCCTATATTGGCAGTAAGAGCTAGTACCGTCCGAAAACACTACAGTACAGATATATCAATAAGCACGCACGAAAGAAAAGGAACACATACGTTTATAAATAAACATGTACACGACACATTTACAAAACCGGCACTCAAGTACACAATACATTGACAAAAATGGTACTAGACTGTCTCGCTTTGATTTCGGAATGCTTACACATTGAGAAGTTAGCTTACTGCCAATATAGAAGTATTACATATATGCGCAAACTATATTTTCAAGCAGGTGAAGGCGGACAGTAACTTAAATTTAAAAGGACTCAGAATCAAAGTGCTAGCGGAGATTAGAGCGTTGGATTCAGAAAGCATTTTTGATGTTAAAATTGTACTTAAAATCGGTAAATTGTACTTTTGTACTTTTTAAAACTAATTGTACTGAAAAAAGTACAATCGTACTTCAAATATCAACACTGCTTTATACTAAAGATCCTCTCAGTTGCTTCGTTTGAGTGTGGTATTGAAAAACAAAAACAAAATTACATATTTTTTCAAACTGCGGAAAGGTACCACTATTTAAGGACTCGGATTTCGATACGAGTACTTGTTTTCAGGATTTCATTTTAGTTTCTCACAGCCGCACTCAGAGCCATTTAATGATTACTTAAGGTATTCCGCAGTAACTATTTGAAAAAATTCCCTCTCAGCGTCAGTTAATGATTCGTTAACGTCAGTTAATGAACATTAAAGTTAAGTAAAGAAACCTTTACTTAAATTTTTAACGAATGATTTTGAAATTTTTTGTCTGTCTCAATAAATTTCAATTTCGATAACGTTACTTTAACGAGAGATCCGAGTTCAATCCTCGGCAACGGTTTTTTTTTATTTTTATTAAATTTTTTACCTTACATTTTTAGGTCTTATTGCTTAAAAAATAAATATTTTTTTTATCTTATTTAATGTTTAGAAACTTTATTGATTTTTTTACTTCCATTTTCTAAAATTTTCCTTTTTAAGAGAATAAATTCCACAACTAAAAAAAGTAAGATTAAAAAAGGGAAAAATTAAATAAAATTAGTGGTTAAAAATTTAACAAGAAAATAAAATAAATAAATAAAGGAAAAAGAAAATGTTCCTGCCCTAGGACTCGAACTCGTATCGCTCGAATGGCACGCTAGTGCTCTGCTTACTCAGCCATTGCGACTGTTGAGGTAGTGCACGCAAAATGATATAAATACTTATTCTTATATTTGATTTCAAACTGAACGATAAAAGTGAGGAAACAGATACGTCTTAGAAACGCGCCCATTATTTAACTGATGCACACAGGTACGCTCGAAGACTATTGTTTAAATCAGGGCTGCTCAAACTTTTTATATTGAAGTGAAATCACAATATATCTACAAAATGTATGTGTTCACTGAGACTTTTCTTTTTGTAATTTAAATAAAGCTAAAGATACAAGTTTATTTTTATTGTACGATTAGTGAATGGAAATTGTTAACAATTAGGGTATTTACATATATCGTCGTTTAAAGTGCAAAACCGCGTATCAACAAAATGCAAAACCGCGTATCAGCAAAATGCAAAACCGAGTATGTGAAGTTTTAGAACTTATTTTCTAGAGGGTAAGAACACACTTTTTTTTAATGGTTCTCTTTTTTATAAAGCAATCGCATTTCTGGCTAGTATATTTCAGGACGAATGGATAAGGATTGAGCCAAGCGCTTGTGTGAGCAAATCCAATTTTCGGCAGCCAATGTCAGTTACGCGGTTTTGCAGAATGACGATACGCGGTTTTGTACTTTAAACGACGATATGTGGAATAATACAGTTCGTTAAGAAATCATAGCGACCTAGTGGCTGAAATGTTTAAGAATTTAGTGGGAGGAA